GGGGGGGGTCTCTCCCTCTTCCTCTGCCCTACCCCTTACTCTCTCTCAAAGTAAATAAAATCTTAAAAAAAAAAAAAAGGGAAGGGCACCTGCATGGCTCAGTTGGTTGTGTCTGACTTCAGCTCAGGTCATGAAATCGGAGTCCTGGAATCAAGCCCCACATCAGGGTCTGCACTGAGCAGGGAGTCTGCTTGTCCTTCTTCCTCTCCCTCTGCCCCTCCCCCTGCTTGTGCTCTCTCTCTCTGTCAAATAAAAAAATAAAATCCTTAAAAAAAAAAAAAAAGGGAAGGGCACCTGCATGGCTCAGTTGGTTGTGTCTGACTTCAGCTCAGGTCATGAAATCGGAGTCCTGGAATCAAGCCCCACATCAGGGTCTGCACTGAGCAGGGAGTCTGCTTGTCCTTCTTCCTCTCCCTCTGCCCCTCCCCCTGCTTGTGCTCTCTCTCTCTCAAATAAATAAACAAAATCTTTAAAAAAAAAAAGAATAGTCAAACTCATAGACAAAAAAAGTAGAAAGGTGATTACCAGAGACTGGGGGGAGAGAGAAATGGGGGGTTGGTGTTCAATGGGTATAGAGTTTCAGTTTCAGATTATTAAAATTTCTGGAGATGAATGGTAGTGATGGTTGCCCAACAATGTGCATTTACTTACTGTCACTGAACTTTACACTTAAAAATGGTTAAAACGGTAATTTTTGTGTTGTGTATATTTTACCACAAAAAATGAAAAAAAAAAGGGTAATTTTGATAAATCAAAACCACAGGGGCACCTGGGTGGCTCAGTTGGTTAAGCGAATGCCTTCAGCTCAGGTCATGATCCTGGAGTCCCGGGATGGAGTCCCGCATCGGGCTCCCTGCTCAGCAGGGAGTCTGCTTCTCCCTCTGACCGTACCCCTTCTTGTGCTCTCTCTTTCTCAAATAAATAAATAAAATAAAATCTTTAAACAAACAAACAAAAAACTATGAATTCTGCTCTTCCAAAGGCTATCTTTAGTAACTGAGAGCAAGACACAAGCTGGGAGAAAATACTGGCACTGCATATAGCTAGCAAAGGACTTGTATCCAGAATACAAAAGAATTCTTAGGCTCGCCTGGGTGGCTCAGTCATTTAAGCAACCAACTCTTGATTTCAGCTCAGGTCACGATCTCAGAGTCCTGGGAATGGAGCCCTGCCTCAGGCTCACCACTCAGCAGGGAGCCTGCTTCTCTCCCTCTCCCACTTCCTCTGCCCCTCCCCGCTCATATGCGGGCACGCGTTCTCTTTAAAATAAATAATAAATAAATCTTTTTAAAAATTTAAAAACGAATTCTTACAATAATAAGAGAATAAACAACTCAGTTTAAAAATGGGCAAAGGGTGGGGCGCCTGGGTGGCTCAGTCATTGAGCATCTGCCTTTGGCTCAGGTCACAGTCCCAAGGTCCTGGGATCAAGCCCTGCATCAGGCTCCCTGCTCAGCGGGAAGCCTGCTTCTCCGCTTGCTCGTGTTCCCTCTCTTGCTATGTCTCCATCTGTCAAATAAGCAAAATCTTTAAAAAAAAATGGGCAAAAGTTTTGAATAGACACTTGGCCAAAGATACATGGATGGGCAACAAGCACATGAAAAGATGCTCAACATCATTAATCATCAGAAAAATATAAATCAAGACCAGGATGGGATGCCTGGGTAGCTTAGTTGGTTAAGCGTCTGCATTTAGCTCGGGTCCCCCATGGTCCTGGGATGGAGTTTCCATATCAGGCTCTGTTCCTTGCTCAGTGGGGAGCCTGCTCCTCCCTTGGCCTGCAGCTGCCCCCCACTGCTTGTGCTTGTTCTCTCTCTCTCTCTCTCTCTGACAAATAAATAAATAAGATCATAAAAAAAAAAAAGACCATGGTTGTATACCATCATGCACCCACTAAAGTGACCAAAATGAAAAGGATGAACTTAACTAAGTTCTGGCAAGTATGTGGAACAACTGGAACTCTCTCTTTTTTAAAGATTTCATTTATTTATTTGAAAGAGAGAGTGTGTGCGCACGAGCAAGGGGAGGGGCAGAAGGAGAGGGAGAAGCTGACCCCCCGCTGAGCAGGGAACCCAACATGGGGCTTGATTCCAGGACCCCGATATCTTGACCTAAGCCTAAGGCAGACACTTAACCGACTGAGCCACTCAGGCGCCCCAACAACTGAAACTCTTATACGTTGCTGGCAACAACGTGAAATGGGACAAACACTTTGGAAAACCGTTTGGCAGTTTCTTAAATAAACACACACTTACTATAGACTCTAGCCATTTCACTCCTAGGTATTTAACCAAGGGAAAATGAAAGTATATGTCCACACAAAGATGTGTACGTGAATGTTCACAGCAACTTTATTTGTAATAGCCCCAAATGGAAACAACCAAAGCGTTCATTACCTGGATGTGAAACTGAATATAGGAAGCAGCGTTTATAGTTGGGGGGCCAGCAGGGGGCGTTCTGATGCCTCGACAACTCGACAATTGCAGACCTCCAACCAGAAGCCTACCTGGTATTTTCCAACAGGAAGCCTATTGTACTAGCCCAGCAGGAGGAAACGTTTTCTCCTTCAGCCCAGCCAGTGAGAAACTGCCACAACTCAGCCAATGAGAAACCATCACCATCCTGAACCCTCATTTTCCCCAAACCCTCAGTCACCCCTCCCAACTTCCTTCTTCTTCTTCTTCTTCTTTTTTTTTTTTTTAGATTTTATTTATTTGAGAGAGAGAGAAGGACAGGAAGAGCACAAGCAGGGGGAGCCACAGAGGGAGAGGGAGAAGCAGAATCCCTGCAGAGCAGGGAGCCCCTTGTGGGGCTGGATCCCAGGACCCCTGAGTTCATGACCTGAGACGAAGGCAGACGCTCAACCAGCTGAGCCGCCCAAGCGCCCAACTTCTTTCTTTTTCTCTATAAAGTAATGTTCCTCTCTTTTGTTCTCTAGACCTGGCTATGGTTTTGCCATAGCTTGCAGGCCCCAAATTGCAATTCCTCTGCCATTCCTGAATAAACCCATTTTGCTAGTAAAATAACTGGCTGCTTTATTTTCAAGGCTGACATAGTGAATCATTGAACAAACTGTGATTCATCCATACAGTGGGATACTCTTCAGCAATGGAAAGAATGAACTATTGATAATGGGACAACATGGCTGGATCTCTAAAATATCAGCCAAACTGGCTTGTTCCGCCTTAGCCCCTCATGCCTCTTCTCCCCTCCAAGTTGGGCTCTGCTCTGAGTGAGCCCCACTAACCAGTGGAAAGTCTGCTTCCCATGCTACTCGATCAGTGATGGAAAATTTGCAATGGTCCCTTTTAAGTCCAAATCTAAAGGTCTCCAGAAAACAGCCTGTACAGAGGGCCAGGTCTCTGAGGGGTGGAGAGAGGTCAGATCCCGAGGTATGTATTAACTTCCTGAGCTGCCATAGCTTAAAATAATAGATATTTATTCTCTCCCAGCTCGGGAGGCCAGAAGTCCAAAATCAAGGTGTTGGCAGGCTGTACTCCTTCTGAAGGCTCTGAGAGAGAACCCCCCCCCTTGCCTCTCTCCTGGCTTCTGGTGGCTCCAGCAATCCTTGATGTCCCTTGCCATGTAGATGTGTCAATTTCTGTGTCACTCTCTGCCTCGGTGTCCACATGGCTTTCTCCCTATGTGTCTGTGTGTCTGTCTCTTCTTTTAAGGACACAGTCATTGAGTTGAGGGCCCACCCTAATCCAGTATGACCTTATCTTAATCTAAGTACATTTGCCAAGACTCTTCAAGTAAGGTCACATTTGGAGGTTCTGGGTCTTGAATTTTGGGAGGACCCTATTGAACTGAGTAGAGGATGCTCCCTTGGGGACCACAGGAGCCATAGCAAGTACGTGGGCAGATGTGAGTGCAGCCAGCTCTCAAAGTCCCAGAGACCCCCAAGGGACTGGTGCAGGGACAGTGTGGAGGCTGGCAGGGTCCAGGCAGAAAGGGCAGTGGGGAGGGGATGCTTCAAGAGCAAATCAGGAGGGGGAGAGAAGCTATGTGTCAGGGAGGGCAGCATAATGCACCCCGAGATGGCAATTATCACCTCGCTCTGATGCTGAAACACTCAGGTTTATTCGCTCAGTCTTGGGGCAAGAGACACTGAGATTCACACTCAGATCTGACTGAGGAGAGCACAGAACATCAAGCATCAGAGTCCGTTTATTGGATGTGCATGGATTAAATCTCCATCCAAAGTCAAGCACGTCCCCAGACATGGATTCGCCCAACCTATCTGACGCTGTCCACCAGTGACATGTTGGCAATAGACCTTCAGCATCATGCAGCTCCCAGGTCTGTCCCTGCCCAGACCCTACTTGCCGTAACCTCAGGCCACCTCACTGAGCCTTAGTTTATTCCTCTGTGAAGTGGGTTCATGCTCCTTAATGGATGAGATACATAGTGTGCAGGCATTAGAGGATGATCGAAAATGTTATTTCTCCTTTATCCTCCCTTCTTGGTCCCAAGGTCATGAGTCATGTGATGTCTGATCCTCCAAAGGGAGGAAAACAGGGAGGCGGTGAAGGTGGAAGAGCTGGTTTCCCAACTCTCAATGAATCTCTGGTGTGCTCTGTGACCTTGGTCAAGTTGTTGCCCCTTTCCAGGCCTCAGTTTCCCCATCTGCGAAATGGGGTGCAGGGGCTTGTGCCTGAGGACCTCCCAAATCCTTGCTGATATTCAGACATGTTCCAGAGAGGTGCTGGAGACTTTCTCAGACCTTAATGTTGGGCCTAGAGTTTTCCCATGTTGTCCAGAGGGGACTCCAACATCTTTCTATTGTATGTAGAGAGAAATCTGGCTTCATTTTGGGGGAGCAGGCGAGGGTGCAGCATCTAAGACTAGGGGCTGGCTGGAAGGGGGCTGGATAAAATGACCTCCCAAAGGCAGGGCTTCACCTCTTTCCATAGGGTAGGGATCCCAAACTCATTTGCATAGGACACAGTCCACGCAATTGGAGCCCGAGGCTGTTCTGTGGCGTGGGAGGGGCCACCCTGAGGTTCCATCCCAGGTGGTCAGTCCCCTGCTGGCTCAGAGGTCTGTCTCCCGAAGGTCCTGACCATGGTCATGTGCACTGCTGGGGGTCCAGGAGCCAGCTCCATTCACCTCCTTCTGCCCCAGGAAGAGCAGATGGTCCTCGTCCGTGGGCAGGAAGTCAGGAGGCCTCTTGGTTCCAGGGGGCAGTTCCTCAGCACCCTGGAATGAAAAGAGAAGAAAGACACTGTCAGAGATCCATTCTGCTCTGTGTCAGCTCAACCTCCAGATGGGATCACTGAGGGCCTAGAAGGACAGAACCTGGGCAGGGTTGCACAACTGTCCCCTTGGTCAGTGCATCAGCCAGTCCTGTCCCTTCTGCCTCCAAAACCTCCACCCACTTCTCTCTCTCCCCCCATTCCCACGTCACCTATAGTCCAAGCCATCAATGCTTGCAAGGATGCCTGCCTCCCTCTCACTCTTTCTGCCTGCTCCCCTTCAAGAAAATAAATATTTCCCCACAGCAGCTGAAAGGAGCTTTAAAAACACTCCAGCCAAATCCCTTCCCTCTCCATACCTCCCCTTCTCTCTCTTTTTTTTTGTTAAGTTTTTATTTATTTATTTGACAGAGAGAGACACAGCGAGAGAGGGAACACAAGCAGGGGGAGTGGGAGAGGGAGAAGCAGACTTCCCGCGGAGCAGGGAGCCCGATGCGGGGCTCGATCCCAGGACCCTGGGATCATCACCTGAGCTGAAGGCAGAC